CATCTCAGGGAATCAGGCACTTTGGTTTAAAGCATTAGGGTTGTGCCATCCTTATGTTTAAATTTGGTTTGAAGTTTCTTTATCAGGTAAAAACAAGTTCACTTGGGTCTTAAGCAGTGGATAATGGAATGAAGTTCTGAGGCATCATGTGTTTCCTTCTTCATTAAGTCACATGGATATTCTTCAAAGTTATGGATTAGGGTTTCGATTATCTTCAACACTTCGAGATCTTTCTTCATCAGTGTGCATCATCATATTTGAGCCTGTTAAATATTTTAAAATTATGGTCAAGGGTTTGTGACTAATATTGCAAGTGTTTGAGCCATGAAACAAGAGATGATGTTGCAAACTCGTATGATAATCAAGGCATGTTTTTTTTTGCTTCAGTTATAAGTTACTTGTGGTTTGGATATCAAGGTTAAGGTTCTTACTGGGAATGCAAGTTTGATTTGGACATGATATGAAGAGTGAGGTTAGAAGACAAGGCATATGGTTTACTTGAAATACAAGTTACAAAGGTCATCTGTGATTTCTTGAAGTTCAAGTTACAAAGGCAAGATGTGTCATTCAAACCTTTCAAGTGGGAATTTCAAATTTTAACCAAGTCCAAGACTTATCCAATTTCCATACAACAAGTTTATCATTCATAAAGTTCAAAGAAATATCATTCAAGTTTCCTATTCATTACATTTTTGTGGGAAATTTACAAAGCAAGTTACCAAACTTGAAATACAAGTTACAAATGTTTGTTTACAAAAAAAGAAAGAAATATTGGTTCTTTAAGTTTCTTTGCTTCATCTTCAAGCAACTCGTCCTCACTCCTTGCCATGACTTTTTCTTCACCATTTAACCATGCTTTTGCCATCCAATTCTCATTTTCTCATGAAACAAGAAAGAGGGAAAGAGTTAGCAACCATCAATATGTAAATATGATTCCAAACAAGAACTAATGTTTAAGTGAGAATGTTCATTTCAACATTAGGGTTTGTATTTGGAATCAGAAATTAAAAGGGTTTGTTTTCAATCATGGGCTATCTTCTCCTATTTTGCAAATCACAAAATCCTAGGTTTTGGTTCACAAAAGGAAAAGAAATTTACAAAACATTTTGCTGTAAAACTAGTAAAAAGCAAAGACAGTCACAGCGACAAGCAACAAATATACAAACAAAAACATCAAAAATAGTCCCAATTGGCAAGCACAGTAGTTGCAAGCTGTGATCGGTGGATCTGGAACTGACTGTTTAACGCTGGTTCGCGAAATGTCGCGGAAGCAAGAGTCGCCACCGTCTTTTATTTTCTCCAAATGGAAAGGACAAAAGCACAGAAAAATTCCTTAAAGAGAGTGCTCTCGGTTCGGGAGGTAGGTTATAGAAAAGGAAGGTGTTAGCACCCTTTCTATCCATGGTTATCCATGGGCTCTTAGATACTTGCTCATTGTGTTTTCAAAATTTGTTTGCTTTTCAATGTGGGTTTAAAAAAAGTTTCTTTGAAAATTTCAGTTCGACTCGTACGTCAGAGTGTTTGAAAAATTTGCTTTGAAAGCTTTTGAAAATGTGTTGGTGAAAAGATTTTTGTTTGTTTTTGAAGAGAGCAAGTATCTACGAGAACCTACCTACCCTAAGGAATTCGTCTGTGTAAATGTCCTTTAAAGTAGTGCCATCCTACCATTGAGAGGTAGGTAGCACCACCGTTGGAGGTGTTCGGGTCAATTCGAGTTTGTAGGGACATGGTGATCACCAGAGCAATGGGAAGACACCTTAGAAGCTACCCTCATGCCAGGTTCCCGGATCATGAGGACTTACTAAGACGTCCTCTACTCGACGATCACCTTTCGAGGCAAGGCAACAGTGAGGCGTACCCTAGGGGTGGTGTGTGCGAATCGTGTGTTGTTTTCATTGTATTTGTCTTGTCATGTTCATTGTGATCTATGCTTGATTTTAATTAAGTCCATACATTCTTTCATGCTTTTTGTTAACAGTTAAATGTTTGCGGAAAAGGTAAATCTAAGGCTATTACAAATGGCGCGGGTCCACATCGCCAAAATTAAACCGGACCCGATTTGACAGAAAATAAATAAAGCAAATAAAAGTGCGAAAAGTTAAATTGTCCGAATTACATGGCTTTGGGAGAGATACATAATTATTTAAACGGAATAGAATAAATATGCGCAATTAAATAAGAATTACTGAAACGAGGGCGTTGGACCCTTTTGCAAATTAAATTAATTAATAATTAAAATTATGATTAAATGAAAATGTTTTTTTTTGGTATTTTGTGTTTTTTAAGATTTAATGGAAAAAGAATTATTTAAAATTAAAATGAGATGTAAATCCTAATTCTAATGGTTTTTAAAGTTATTATGAAAAATATTGAATTTTTAACTAATTTAAATCTAAGTTAATTTACATGCATTTTTTAATTTATGAAAAATAAATAAAATAAATATTATTATTGTAAAAAAGGGAAATTAAAAGGAATAAAATTAACAATTAAACCTAAATTCTATATTTTTGTATTTTTGTTATTAAAAGAAATTAAAATTATAACCTAATTAAAACTAAATATTTACATGTTAATTTATTTATGAAAATATTAGAATGAAATAATTTATTACATTTTTTATCTTTTTCTGGATTTTTTATGATGTTTTTATAAATATATGGTAAAAATAATTTGTTAAATTAAAACAATAAAATAAATAAAATAAAAACTGAAAACAAAATAAATATAAAGGAAATTGCAAACCAGGGGGGGTGGAAGTCCCAATTTGGAGGTTTAATCCTGGAATGCTGGCCCAATAAGCTTTGAATCCGTTTGATTTTTTGAACAGCCTACAGCCATGTTGACCTACGTCCATGGTGTGCCTTCAATCTAGGCCATTGACTGGATCTCAGCGCGCACGTGGATGGTTGATCAGGAATGTGTATGATGCGCCTTAACCCTTGAAGCTGCATATGAACATTTGATGAAAAATAATATTGGGATAACGTAGACCTGGGACTTGAACCCAGATCATGAGGGTTACAAGCACATACACCTGCCAGCTGAGCCATTAAGTTCTTTTGATATATTAATAACAAAGAAATAATATGAAATAAAAACAAAGCGTTAGTGGGTCCTGCGCGCCAACTTTTAAACGCACCAATTATCGCGTGACACAAGGTCATCTTCCTCACCATCCCTGTAAAACAAACTCAAAGGCAACAGTTTTCATAGCGTTTCATTAGGTGGGCTATTGGAAAATAGCGAATAGCTCATCTCTCAACATAAATTAGGCGCGAATATATGTTCATGATCGTCCCAATCTGCTGAGTGCAATGGTAGTGGCCTTGAGTCTTAATTTTACCTCGTTCTAAAAGCCCCAAATTTGCAAACCTGTAACCCTAGAAATCGCGCATGGTGAAATCTTATATACAGCGTAATAATGCAATTAAACACGATGGTTAGCTTTAGAATCTCATGAGGAATAAGAATCAATAAAGAAAATGCTGTAAAAATGCTTGAATCATGATGCACGATAATGGGATTTTCTCTTTACAGTTCGAGTCATAGGTACCGATTCTTGGAGCTTTGGTTGTTGTTTGTGATTGGAATGCGTTCAGGAATTGCCAAGGAAGCTTTTGGAATAGGTTTTGTGCTTTGAATCAACCTTTAGAGTGGTTTTCAGTTTTGAACTTTTTGATGAAAATTCCAAGTTTGATATGTCTCTTTCTGCGCAGCTTAGAGTCCTCTAGCATTAGGTTTGTGTTCCTGTATTTGTATGGAGTCAATTAGGTTAAGAATATTGCACAAAATCTTTTGAATTCAATGGTTTCAATATTTGATTTTATAAGATCTTTTTGAATCTTTTTTCATGTGTATTTGGTGTCAATTAGCTCAAATCAAACCAAAACTTTCCACATTTGCATATGCACGAATTATAGAAGCCAAAACATGTATAAAAAGATTGGTTTTGTTAGGTTAAATATTTTTTCACATATTTAATTGATTTAATTGAATTAATATAAATAAAAACTCAAATAAATAAATAAAAAATGAGAAAATACTTCCCTTTGGGCCAAGTGGTCGTGCACATGCTTGGAATGATGAATCATGGAAGAAAAATGGGCCCATTAGCATTTTTAGGTCATTTGGATCAAAGTTGACTTTTCAAAATATCCAAAAATTTCCCAACTTCCACAAGGCATAATTTTCTCCATTTTTAAGCTTTTCACATGTTCTTGGACATTTTGGAAAGGTCTTTGAGTCCTCTAACCAATGCCTTTGGTCCCATGTCAGTTTGATTTACCAATCTCAAGTTATGGCCTTTGACTTAAAGTCCCTTTTTGTTGACTTTTGAAAATGACCTATAATGTTGAAATTGATAACTTTTTGTGAGAGCATTTCTTGGACTTGAAGTATGAAGATGAGTTGTAGGAAATGTCTTTCTCTTCAAAATGAGCTTTGGATGGAATTTTTCTGATAATCCATGTGAAAGTTATGCCCTGGTCAATTTCAGTTGACTTTTTCAACTGTCCAAATATAGTAACTTTTGCATCTTGATGATTTTTTGAGCCAAATTTTGAGAATCATGATCAAGCATTGATCAAATGATGTTTGTGGCTTCAAAATGATATGTTGACCAAAAATTTGAACTTTTGACTGTCAAATGACCATTTTGCCCCTACAGTTGACTGTAGTGCAATTTAGGGTTTTGACTGAGCAATTTTGAGCTGAATGCCTTGAAACTTGATATGAAGATGCTTGACCACATTTGTAAGCATATGAGACTTGATTGGGCCTTTGAAACCTTCAATTTCTTGATCAGCACACAAACCCTAGCTTTGACTGTATAGGAGATAGTTGGACTGTGCCACCCTTGGGGAATTTTGTGACTTGGCTTGGCAATTTCTTGAAGAATATGGGAGGGCAAATTTTGGGGTGCAACACAAGCCAAACTGCCAAATGACAGCAACCCAAACTACCAAATGACAGCAACCCAAACTGCCAAATGACAGCAACTAAACAACAGCAGACATATGCAATATAACACAGCAAGCCAAATAACACAGCAAGCTATAATCAAGCAAAATAGTACCAATTGGCAAGAACATCAACTGCAATCAAAAGCCAAAAACAACAGCCAGGACAAGAAAAGGGGAAGACTTGCATCAAACAAAAAAACTATCCAATAAAGCAGTAAAATCGACAAATATAAAATAGCAACGGTTCATAAAAACAGAAGGCTAACAAACATCCAAAACCTCAAATGCATCATCATTTTCCTAAAATGCAAACCCTTCATAATTATGTAAAAAGCAGAATAGCTTTACATCAAAGATAGAAGAAGAAGAAAAGAATAGATTTAGAAAGATGTCACCTAACCAAAACCAGTCTAAAGTCTGATACAACTTTGTATGCAAGTAGTAAGGGAAAAACTACACCAAAGGAAGCACAAGACAGCATGTCAAAATTGTCCAAAAACTGCTGCTACCATTCTGCTTCTTACTGTCATAACAATCTAGAAAACAGTCAAAACAGCCTGAAAATAACATCAAATAAGGAAACATAAAACATACATCCTAAAGCACAAAGTCAGCATGCCAAGAATGTTCAAACTTCACCACATTTCCCCCCAATTTCCACCCTTATCTCACTATAAAAAGAGCCAACTATGACAAGAAAGGGGGGGCAAGAATCTCACATAATATACCAGAAAAAGATGCACAAAGTCATTCACAACAACCTCACTCACCCCTGCAAAGTGCAACCTCACCAACTCAACTTCTTCAATCATCTCCAAATCTGCAGAACTGCAGACCAACCCTCCACTTAACTGATCTTAAATCCACCTCCCATAAAAAACTATGATACTAGAAACAATAAAATTCAAAAAAAAATTCACAACAAATGTCTTGAACAAACTCAAAAACCCCAACTACAAACAGAAAATATTAGAAATTAAAGAAGAAATTCAAAAGAAATCATGAAATTATGCAGTCCAAGTGAAGCTTTCCCTAAGCATTATTTCATCAACCTGCGAAATTAGAACAGACACTCCAAGAGGTGTCTCTCAGCATCAAACGATCAAACTTGTAACACCAACAAAATCGGGTAACCTTCAGAGTGAGGCAGAGGAAAGAGTAGAGAGTCATTACCTGAGCTCGAAGAACCTGTCGGAGGGGCTCTGATCTGGTACCTTGTTGAAATTCATCTTGCACTTTACCTTTTCTTTTTCATATATCTACTCTTTTTAGGAGGTGATGCCATCATTGTTCTCTCATAACCAGTTTATTTGTTGATTCTATTTTTGTTGTTCAAACTGTAAAACATAATAATCCATTAATCAAAAGTTTGATCATTCAGAACAACTAACATAGCAACCCTAAAAGCATGATAACTAGAATTTAAAGAAGGGAAGAAGGATTGAATCCCTTACTTGAGAGTGTCCCTACCGCGGTCGATTTGAGCTTGTCGCTGTCATGCCAGAATTCACCATTTCCGATCGAAACCATGAAATTGAGAGAAGGCCATGAGTGGAACATCTGTTGAGCTAAATGCGAACAAGAGTGCAAGTTCGAGGGAGTTTTATCGTGAGAATTGATTTGGGAGGGAGATACACAGAAAAAATTCATATTACACAGAAAAAGGGACCAATGTTCATCAGGAAGTAGATTGGTACAGACAAAAGAAATACAAACCCTAAATCTAAGAGAAAGAGGAGAACCAAGAGGACTCGCTTGTGAAGAAGTCGCCGCCGCTGAGCCCTTTTCCGCCACCGTCTCCTTTCCCTTTCCATTAAATGTTGTTGTTTGTGTCTACAGGACACTGGATCTCTCTATCTTTTCATCTTTCATTTGTTTTCACAGAAATTTCATTAGGGTTTCGAAAATCCCTTTTAAGATCTTGCCCTCGTCTTTGTTTTTTCTACAAAATAGAGTGAAGATTAGGTTAGAGGGAGAAGAAACAATTTTAAAGATGTAAAATTATTTAGTTTCTGGAAACACCATGGTGGTGTCGCCGTGAATCTTCATCGAAGCCTCCATGGTGTTCTTCTTTCCTGTCGTGGGTTCTTGAAAGCCATCGTTCTGTTCTTTGTCTGCCACCGCGTTTGATCCATTTTATTGTTGTTATCTCGGTTTCGTTTGTTTGTTGGTTGAAAATTAATGAAATAGTAGAGAGAAAAGAGGGGATACGAAGGGAAGATAGAGTCTTTTAGTTTTCAATTATGTTTAATTTTGTTTATTAATTCTTGTTTTGTTAAGTTAATGGTAATCAAGACCTAATCTGGTGGTGACACATGTCCTTGTCCGGTTTGCACATCCATGTTGGATCCACTATTGTTTCCTCCTCTGCTGTGCATCCCCATGGTTCACCTCTTGTAGAGCAGCCCACCAGATCCCAAACATAAGCCTCATTGGGCCTGGACGCATATGCTTCTTGCACCCCCCCTAATTACTGATTTCCAAGCCCAATTCTAATCTTTTCTTTTATATTTTCATCTTACATTTATTTATTTGCTTATATTTTGTTTTATTTTTTAATTCAGTATAAAATAAAAAAAATGAAAAACAATAGATTGGAATTCTTGTATTCTATTTCTTTTGAATAAATGCTTGCTTTTCCATGCTCCCATAGGATTTCTCAATTCAAATTAAAGATTTGAATTGAGATGGACCTTAGGATTGATATCTAAACATGCAAATTTAGGTAAAAATTTCCCCTTTCAAACTTAACCTTAGGTCAATCTTTGTACATGACAGCATTAGAGTAGATTTTCCCTTTAGGCGTTTCTTTTGTAATTAAATTAAAATTTCTCATTCAGAAATCAAAAATCCAAAAACATTTAATCATCATTTAAACCCATTTTAAAATTAACAAAACACTCAACCAATCAAAACCTCCCCCAAAAGGGCATGTTATCTCCATTCTACCGCAATACAGGCCATGCTTATCACTAGAATGTGTGTGTTAACGTCGCCTACTAAAAGAAAACACCAAAAAACCAATATTTTCTAGAAGAACTATGGTGTTCTGATTCCTCCACTGGATACGTAGGAAAAGGGTGGCGAGACCCTCACGAACGCAATAATAAAAAACCATTTTCTTCCCCCTTAGCAAGTATTTTTATAGATAAACACACCCTTAGAAGCAAACAAACAAAATGGATCCCGTTGAGTACAACGGATGCGAGGGGTGATAATACCTTCCCCTTGCATAACTGACTCCCTTACCCTTTCTATTGGTTGTAAGACCATCTTATCCATCCTCTTGTGGTTTTCTCGATATTTCTCCTTCCTTCGGGATAAGTAAAGTTCGGTGGCAGCTCTGTGTTTTTTTGCCGGTAGCTTCAGCTGCCGACTCTACTGGGTATATTATTTTGCGAGTCTCTCCTAGTTTTTCTTATTTGTATCTTTGGGTGTTTATTTATTTGCTTTATTTGCTTTACCGCTTTACTTCTTGGCTTTATTGTTTACTTTTGTATATATTGCATTATATTGTTGCTACTCACATATTTCGGATATGATGTAATGTTGGGTTGGGTGATTACATTTGATAAGTCCTATACCCGAACTTGGGTTACACTTAGGATTAGTACAGGTGGTATAGTCATGTTAACTTTGAGGGAGTAATCCCGAAGAAGGAGGCATGAAAATCCCCCACTCAGTGGAGGCCCCCTTGAAAGTAGCGATGTTTACCGAGTAATTGGGAAGACATTGTTGCTTTCGACCTGGGAACTCGAGAAGCTGAGAGCCGTAGAACCATCAACCCATCCTGGCCTTTTTAGGTGTAGTGTGGAGACTATAACGAAGTAATCCGGAAGTAGTTGTCACGCGATGCTGCACTCAGACGAGTTTTTCCTGCAAATATTACTGATTACCCAATAATTGGGACGTCGGTAATATTCAAAGGAAGAGCGTAGACTCTGAGGTTTCCCTATAACCTTGTTCGGCAGGTGATGAACCCCTAGTACATACCTTATGGGTGGTTACTTTAACTTCATGCCTGTAACGTCAGACTTTTGATCCTATTACTTTCAGTTTATGCAAAGGACTACATAGTGGTTATCCATAATATGTGGAGCTGAAATTTTATGCCATAGCATACCATGACATCATACCATCATGTATATATATCTCGTATCTAAGGAATTCCAAAGACAAGTCCCGTTGGTCGAGTTTTTTTCAAAAAAAAATGAAAACAAAATTTTAAAAGATAGACGAGTCTTTGGATTTCCTAGGAAATGAAGATAAAACATTCATACTATCATGCATTCATTATTCACAACAAAAACTTATTGGGGTCCCTTTTCCAACTGACTTCAGTAAACAGCAAAGACTTATGGATCTTTTTGAAGAGAATCAGAATGCTCTTCGCCGAGATATGGACACCATGGGCACTCGCATGGATCAACATATGGAAACCCTTTATGTTGTTATCAAGGGTCAGGAAGAGTTACATCAAAGTGTTGCTGAGCTTTCTACTGCTTCTCCCTCCACTTCTGCTAATGGAAGGAATGATAATGCAAATGTGGAGACCCCTACCGGAGCTCCTCGGAATGACATTGATGATCATCATGACGTCATTGATCTTGATGAACCCTAGGTGAACCTTTCCGCTGGAGTTGCTGAAACTGCAAAGATATACCATGCTCTTGAAAAGCGTCTCAAAGCCATGGAGGGTATCAAGACTTCTGGATTCAATACTTCCGCAATGTGTCTCATGACTGGGGTAGTCATCCCTCCCAAGTTCAAGGTTCCTTATTTTGACAAATACAAAGGCACTTCCTTCCCAGAGACTCATCTCTGTTCCTAATGTCGTAAGATGGCAGCCTATGCTGAAAATGAACCATTACTCATGCACTTCTTCTAAGATAGCTTGACCGAGGCACCGTTGGACTAGTATATGCAACTAGAAAGAACTCATGTCAGTACTTGGGGAGACCTTGTTAACGCCTTTTTGAAACATTACCATTATAATACTGCCATGGATCCTAGCCGTACTCAGCTTCAAGGGATGATACAGAAATCTAAAGAGTTGTTCAAAGAGTATGCTCAAAGGTGGCGTGAACTGGCTACAAGGGTCCAACCTCCTCTCTTGGATTGTGAACTGATTAATTTGTTCATAGGTACTTTACGAGGTCCTTATCTCTAAAACATGCTCAGCAGTACCTCTACTTCTTTCTCTGATATGGTCATTATTGGAGAACATGTTAAAACTTGTATTAAGGATGGAATGATCCAAGGTGTCCCTAACAATACCAACAACTATACTAGCATTGGTAGAAAGCTATTTTCTGGTTTCGTCAAGAAGAAAGAGGGTGAGACTAGTGTTGTCACCATCAACCAAGGAAAAGCTCCTGCATATCCTCAAGTTCGATTTCCCTATTTTCCAACACCTGCTGCAGTTCCTAATCAATTTTCTCCTCAAGTGTATACCGCTACAACTCCAGCACCCTGGATGGCCCAACAACGGCCTTCCACTCCTCAACCATAGTATCTTCCACAACAACAATTTGCACCACCTCCAACTTATCAACAACAGAATCAACAACCTCAAGGTCTGAGAGCTCCACAGAGACATAGAGCGCCTGGAAGAATATTTGATCCCATTACTATGTCATATGCTTAGCTTCTCCCTCAGTTACTTGCTAATCAGTTAGTTCAACTACGTGAACTTGGTTCACCACCTAATCCTCTCCCCGTTGGGGTATAACATTAATTCTCATTGTGAATTTCATTATGGAGCCTCGAGCCACACGATTGAGAATTGTAGAGCATTTAAATGTAAAGTTCAAGACCTCCTTGATGCAAAGGCCATAAAATTTAAACCCTGTTGGTACCAATATTCATAATAATCCCATGCCTCCTCACCCAGGGGAAGTGTTCAATGCTATTGAAGAAAGTAGTGAACAGACTCTAGTAACCAAGGTTTCCGAGATCAAGATATCATTAGGAACTGTTAGAGAACATTTGTTAGAGCACGAGGTGCTGCAAGAACTCCATGGTTTTTGCTTAACATGTTCCTCTAAACCCGAAGAGTGTACTAGTTTGAAGACAGTTATCCAACAGTTAATGGATGAAGGTGTCCTACATGTAGAGAAGATAATTTGAGAAGAAGAAATTGATGTCTTGGAATATCCTTATTATCCGAGAAGCATCTCAGCAACACTAGGTACCCCGTTGACAATTCAGGCTCCTGTTACCCCGTTAATGATTCAAGCTCTCGCTACCCCCACAACAACTCAAGCTCCTATTCCTCCTTTTTGTAACAACTCAAAGGCAGTTCGGTGGGAGTATAATATGGTCTATATTCTTGGGAAGAAATACAAGTGTCCTCCAGTGGATGACAAGAGTATTACTAACATTGCAGGAACCAGTAACATGACTCGTAGTGGCATGATCTTTTCTCCCCCACCACCGCCTCCCAAAGAAACTAACAATGATGCTCTGGCTAAGGCTAGGGGAAAGCAAGTGATTGATAGTCAGCCTGAACCTTCTGTAGGACAAGAAGCGGAGAAACTTTTGAGGATTCTTAAGTGAAG